GAGTGTTTCCTCTCACATTTTTGATTCACTGGATGGTATAAACATAAATTCCACTTGCTGAATCCTGAAAGAGCTGCTTTGTAAAGGAAGGTTCCTCTCTACAGTAGCATGTCTGGGATGAGTATAATGACGTCGGCTCAACTACAATTTCACAGTAATTACATAATTGCTCAGATTTTGAATTCTCTGTTAGACCCAAGGGATTTACAACAGACTGCGTAAAAAACTGATTGTCAGATTTTATTTTCAGAACGAATGCTGTTTATCAGCCATTAAATTTAGCTGAATCAAAAGACAGCATTAGCTTTTACTTATCTAACCAGTTACACCGAATTAATCAAAGTGTCAGAAGGACTGGGCGGAACAGATACAACACATCAGTTCCAGCACTAATTGAATGAGTCTGTGACGTCTGGCAGCAATGTCTTTCTTCCTGTAATCAGTTCATAATTTCATGTGTTAGAGACTGTTTGGCTCAGATGGAGTTTGAGCTGCTTCAGGAGAAGATGTCATCTGTTTTTTTCACCCAGATCGAGTGTCTTCTGATTGAAATCTCTACATGTTCCAACAGAAGCACAATGTTATCACAGTGATTCAAAATGCTACAATACTCACACAAAAAGATACATGTGATCTTATTGTGGCAAGCAGGATGAGGCCGGTGGGTCGATTGCTAATGGTATCTCACAAAGGAGCTCGGTTGGATAAAAGGAGAAGTGACGACAGTTAAGGATGAGAGGGGACCAGGCCTGTGAAATTTACGTTATGTTTTGTTTATGAGTGTGCTGCTGTCGTCTGTGTGCGACTGCTGCTTTACTTTTGTTTTTGTGCTTGCTTATTTTAGAATTAAAATGTGTGAAACATTTGCTGGTTCCCGCCTCCTTCTCTGAACACTAACCTCTCTAGATTCATTTAAAAGCAGACACTTGGTAGTTTGTTGTTATCAAGTCAAATTATTGCCATTAAGAAAAACAAACTTATAAATGGCTTAAATGTACTGTGAAATTATTAAAAAAATATTTGTATGAATTGTCTTTATGGAAAAATATGAAATTTGCCTGGCTTCAGTCTAGAAATGCTCTGCAGCTAAAGCCACATTCCTGAACATGTTTTATTTCAAATCTGAAGATACAACTCTAACTCTCCGTCAACGTATCACCACAGGCTTCATTTTAACCATGAATTGAAAAACCTCTTCATAAAACCCCATAGGGAAATCTCGAAGGTCTTCCGGATTCTGACATCATCCATCAACCGCTCTATCAAGCCAAATACTATTTTTTTATTGAAAGTAGGGGTGTAACGGTACACAGACATCATGTTTCAGTATGTACCATGGTTTCGGGGTCACGGATTGATACGAGTTTGGTACATTTACATGTCCACCCCACCAAATTCCTGATTGCTTGAAATAATAATAAAAAAAGGAGTTGATTTGTTATTTTAATTGAGTAATTTTAATTGAGTAAATTGGCACAAATATAAAAAAATATATATATTTTTAAAATTTTCATAAACCTTTTTTCTTTCAAAATTATTTTTTTAACTCCTACAATAATCTACCAAGTGTCTTCTTTAAAAAGAGAAAACATTATTCATGCACCAAAGTATTCAAGAATTATAAAAATTTAAGTTGAATTTAAGTTAATTCACCTTTGGCTAAGCCTCGCCCCCCTTAGTTACTCTTGCTACATCCGTCAAACTTCATCTGCGCTCTGCATGGCTTATGCTGTAACAGCTCTTCCTGCTGAAATGTTATCAAACTTTTATAAAGCAGCAAATAAAGTGTCCGATAGAAGTAGGCAAAAGGGGCTGCAATATGCGTTCGAAGGCTATATTCAAGACATATACAGGTGAAACGCAAGAAACAACAAGGCATCCAAAATAGAGGCAAAAGCATAACGTTACCAGTCACAGTCAAAACATGAACCACCGCATTTCCTACTAATCGAGACGGAGGCTGGACAACAATATCAGGGAGCAACACTGTTCATTTAAAGCTGGGTAGGTCTCTATTCACTTCTATAATCATTATTACAAAGCAAACGGACTACACGAGTATAGCGTTGTATTTATTAGCAGCGTGTGCTAGCGTATCGACAACCGGTATGAGAACCGAAATCATAACCTAAAACATTATAAAACGGTCTAACTAGTATAACTTCACACTCACAGTAAGGTTAGAAGTAAAAAAGATGTGCTTGTTGATCTTTGCGGGGTTTAGCTGACTGAGGACAGGATTGCCAGGATTTCGGCACTTCGGTTTTGGGAAGGGAAAAAAACGGACACCCCCCATCAACCTCTCTGGGAAACGTGTATCTGTGTTACAAATGCCTGAGGCACAACGTTTAACCATATTTTGGATAAAACTATGACGGTAATAGCCTGCCGAGACCAAAATATGAGACGCCTGTGTTGAAAGTCAATGGAGCGCTGCGAAAAAGTGTCGGAGCTCTGTGGGAGCTCGTTCTTGGCTGCACTGTGATTGGTCAATCTACATTCTAGGGCGTGGCTTAGCCAAACGTGAATT